GTAGGAGGGGGAGGGTCTCCCTCCCTGGGCAGGGGTCTGACCCGGGCACCCCCTCTGCGGGGCTTGGCGGGGGGTTCGGGGAGCCCTGCGAGGGGGAGGAAGCCAATAGCGTGTGTATCTCTTATTGTGTGCAGGGGTGTGTGTGTCTTTGCAGGTGTGTAATTACGTGCGCGTCTTAAATGTTGGCACACGCGTGTCTAATCACGCGTGTGCTTTTCCACACCGACCTGCCCGTGTCTGTGCACATGGGGGTGTTGCCTCAGCAGCGCTGCTCCCCGGGCTGGGCCCCCTGCCCTGCTCCTGGGGCTCTGCTGCCCCATCCCGACCCTGGTTCCCCTTTCCGCTTGATGCTGTGCGGGCTTTTGCCTTCCACGCCGGTGAAACGGGGGGGTTTTTGGGCACAGGAAAGTGTCACCCGCGAGTGGGGCATCGGGCACATCCCTGGGGACCCCCCGGGGGTGTGGGACAAAGCACCTGAGGTTTGAGCCCCCTTCTCTGGGCTTCTCCACAGCTGCTCTGCCCTGGTGCTGCCCTGGAGGGGAGGGGGGCTGAGGCAGAATGGAGCTGATGGGCTGGGCTGTGTCCTGGCCCTTTGGGGCCTGCGGATTGAGCTGCAAAACTGGGATTCAGAGGGGAACTCCAGCGGGTGCTGCAGGGAGGGGGGTTAAACTCCCTCTGTGCCCTCCGGTGGGGAGGGCCCTGGAGCAGTTCCCTGGTGGGCAGGGAGGAATTGGGGGGGGAGGGATGTTCTTTGTGTTTAAGCCCTTCTCCTGACACACCTGGTCTCTCCTAGGTCAGCATGATCCCCGGGCAGGGGCCGGTGCTGCAGGCGGTGCTGGGAACGCTGCTCACCTGGGGGCTGACAGCAGCTGGCTCTGCACTGGTCTTTGTGTTTTCCAGTGGGCAGGTGGGTGCTGGGATCCAGGCCTCTGTCCCTGGGTCATGTCCTCTGTCCCTGGGCCACATCCTGGGATCCAGGCCTCTGTCCCTGGGCCACGTCCTTGGATCCAGGCCTCTGTCCCTGGGTCATGTCCTCTGTCCCTGGGCCACATCCTGGGATCCAGGCCTCTGTCCCTGGGCCACGTCCTTGGATCCAGGCCTCTGTCCCTGGGTCATGTCCTGGGATTCAGGCCTCTGTCCCTGGGTCATGTCCTGGGATTCAGGCCTCTGTCCCTGGGTCATGTCCTGGGATTCAGGCCTCTGTCCCTGGGTCATGTCCTCTGTCCCTGGGCCACGTCCTGGGATCCAGGCCTCTGTCCCTGGGTCATGTCCTGGGATCCAGGCCTCTGTCCCTGGGCCACGTCCTGGGATCCAGGCCTCTGTCCCTGGGCCACGTCCTGGGATCCAGGCCTCTGTCCCTGGGCCATGTCCTCTCTCCCTGGGCCACGTCCTGGGATCTGAGGCACGAAGCTGCCCGGAGCCCCTGGGTGGCTTTGGCCACCTGGGTCCAAGCCCAAGGGATTTGACGTTGGCTTTGGGAGGTCCTGGGGCAGGGGGAGGAAAAATCCAGCTCGTTTCTTTCCTGTGTGTTGACACAGAAGAAGGGAAGGGAAGCAAATTCCTGGCTGCAGGCTGTGGTATGTGCTGTAGCACAGCTCATGGTGTTTGGGAGATGGGGCAGAGCTGCAGGCAGGGCCCTGTGCTTGGAACAGCAGGTTCTGTAACCTGGTTTCTCTGGTGCAGGATTTGGGTCACCCTGTGCCCAAAATGAGCAAAATGCTGATTGTTAAATCATCTTACATTCCAAAATTAGAGGCCCCCCCCTTGTTGTTGTGCTCAAGATTGCCTGGATTAATTTATTATTTATGCGTCTCTTATTATGATTTATTCAGGAGTTTGTTGCAAAGTGAGATTCCCTTTGCACATTTGTTTTCTTCCTGGGGGAGGGAGATGTGCTAAAGAAGAAAAACTGCCCTGGGAGTGATGGGGGGCAGGACACGTGCTGGGCTGTGGGAAGGCTGATGGCTTGGGCTGTAGCAGCAGGTTCTTAGAGGAATCCAAACCTTCCAGGAGGGGAAGTGCAGGGCAGTGTGCACAGATGGACAGGAGAGTTTCTGTCTTACCTTTCAGTATCCTTGGAGCATTTTTCCCAGTGCTGGTGGGCTGAGGGAGCTGGGCTGCTCTGGGTGATGGTGGGTGCCATCACCTCGGGGCTTTGCACCAGGAGCACAGCTCTTGCCTCAAAGCACAGCAGTCATGCCATGGGGAGAAGGTTCTCTGGGTGCAGCCAGCTTCCCCCCCTCCACATGATTTGTGGCCTGGTTGCTCTCCCCTGCTTCTGCTGGGAGTAAATGAGGTGTCTTCTCTTTGTTCTCTTGGTTGCAGAGGCGGATCCTGGATGGCAGCTTGGGCTTCGCTGCGGGGGTAAGTACAGCATCCTCCTCCTCCTCAGCTCTGCCTGGGCTCTCCTGGGGCCCCTCTGCAGCCTCACCAGGCTTCATTTGGTTGCCCTCGTGCTTCTTGGCTAATTGCTCAAGGTGCAGGTGGGGCAGGGAGGAGAACAGGTCATGTCTTGGCTGGGTGCCTCTTTGGAGAGGGTGGAGGTGGCACCAGGACGTTGAGCTGCCCACGCTGGATTTGCCTCTTGAGTTCAACTCCTCTCACTTCCTTGGGGTTCTGAATTGTTCCTCCCGGAGCACTGGTGAGGTAAAGATGTGCAGGAGAGCCCTTGTCCTGGAGGCTGATTTGGGTAGCTTGCTTTGTGCTCCTGGCTCTCCAGCAGGGCATGGGCACATTTAGCCCTTGGGAGAAGGACAATAAAGACACTGCAGCTCCACATCAAGGGCACACACTAAATGTGGGACTTATTGCACCATTCTTGAAGGACAACATGAAGCTGCCTGGCTTGAAATTGTGTTGGGGCTTGTGAATGTTGACCTCCTTGCTGCCCAGCTGCTGGGGAGCAGGTGGAGGCTCCTCCACGCTTGTTGAAACAGGTTTGTTTTCCTTCAGGGGCTGGAGTGTGCCTGAGAGCCAGGGGGATGTGCTCAGGGGGGAAGGTGCATCCTTCCCAGGGGGTGTGGTGGGTGCACTGGGCTTGGCCAGGTCCTGCTCACTGTGTCCCTGCCTGGAGCTGGCAGCTGGAGTGTGGGTGGTGCTGCCAACCTGGGGTGACCCACTAACCTGGGGTGACCCACCAACCTTGGGTGATCTGCATGGAGTGGGGCTCCTTCCTCCTTGTGCACCCCCAGGTGCTGCCATCGAGGTGAAACTTGCAGGTCCAGGGATCACAGATCTGCTGTTCCTGAAGCAAAATCCAGCTGCTCCCAGGAGGAGCCTGCTATGGTGGGTGACACAAAAGGCTCCAGAGCTTTGTCTTCTCCCTAGCAAATGTTCCTGGAACATCCCTGTGACCTGCTAATGATGTGAATAATTCAGCTCGTCTGTTGAAGCTGATTCTTGGGCCATCATTTATCCATGAATCACTTGTGTTAGGAATTGCTCCTTCTGGGGCTTTCCTCTGTGCTTGGGTGTCTGAGCTGTGCTGCTCTGGCAGACACCCCCGTGTCCCTGCAAGCCAGGCTGGAGTTCCTGCTGTGCTGTGGGGGGAGATGCTGCTGGGGACAGCACGGGCTGGGCTGTCCCCTCCCTGTGGCACTGCTGTGTCCCTTGTGTGACATTCCTGCAGCTGGGGGGGACAGGGACACAGCAGGGGGGGTTTGTCCCAGCTGAGGGCTGGCTCAGGTGCCCCTGTGATGCTGTCCTTGTTGAGGCCACTGTGTCACCCTGCCAGGAGCACTGAGTCACCCTGCCTGGCAGAGGTGTGGCTCAGCTGCTGAGCCACAAGTCCTGCAAGCATTTGCTTTGTCCCTTCAGCTTCTTTATTTGCTGTGCTCGGAGCAGGAAAGGGGAATTGTTAATGTATTTATTTTTCTGGGGTGGTTGCAGGGACTGGGGGGGGATTTCAGCAGGGGAGCCTGTGGTAGCAGCTCCTGCTGGTGGAAGGTGCTGCCCCAGGAGCCACCTTGAGCTGCAGGTTGTGAAGGTTTCTAGGTGGCATTTCTGGGCCTGAGCTGCTGAAGCAGGTGCTGGTTGGGGTGAGGTGCCTGTGTCACCCTGGGCCCCTGCAGCCCTGCCTGGTGCTTTGTGGCCAGAACTGGCTCTTTTGGAGGAAAATACCAAGGATCCACAGGTCATTGTGCCACAGTACCTTCTAAGCTCACTGGGAGCAGCTCCTTGCTCACTGGTTGGGTGTTTGGGTGGCAGTGACGTGGCAAGAGCACCAGAACTTTCCTCTTTCTTCTTCTTTTTGCCTCGTGCCTGCAAGGGCTGTGCTCAGCCTCACACCTTGGTGCTTCCCCTCTGCTCTGCCCGGGGCTGAGGTGGGTTTGCTGGATGTGACCCCCAGGATCCCCCTGGCCCAAGCCCACCAAGTTAGATGGCACAAGTGTCATCTCAGGTGAAGGGGACATGTGGCTGGTGGCTGCAGGGTGGTGAAGTTGAGCTGCTTCCAGCCTGGTACCTCCTCTCCAGCACCCCAGCATTGAGCTTCCCCTGCCTCAGTTCCCTTTCTGGCATCCCTGGGTAATAGAGGGTTTTGTTTGCTGAAGCCTCCGAGGTGATGTGTTTCCATGGAGACAAGGCTTTGCTTGCTTGGGCATCTGATGTGGAATTCTGGCTTTTCTCTTAAGTCTTGATGTTCTTAAAAAAGACCTTTTTTTAGATGTTCTCTTTAATCTCTGTGTTATCCTGGAGCTGCTGTGCTCTTGGGCATCAGAAACACTCCACAGCCACTTGCAGTCCTTCCCTTCAGCCTCTCCTGGCTATTCCTCTTACTGGGTCACAATTGGGCCCCAGGTCAAGCAGAAAATCACCAAGATGTGCTCTTTAAACTGCACCTTCCACATATTGAATGTTCCCTTTCAGGGCCACTTAAAACAGCATCAGTAATTTACACAGGTCTGCTGAGGCAGGTTCTTGTGTTGGAGCCTTGATGAAGTCAAGCTGAAAAGCTGAGCAGGGAGGGTGTCCTGCCAGTCACACCTTCTGCTTTCCTTCCTGCCCTGCCAGGAACATCTCCTTCTCTCATAAGCAGCCAGGATTTCTGTTCCTCATGCCCTTAATGTGGCTTTCCCTGAAAGCTGCTGTTCTCAGATAGGATCATGGACACAGACTGGTTTGAGTTGGTGGGACCTTAAAGATCATCTAGATCCAACCCCCCTGCATGGGCAGGGACACCTCCCACCATTCCAGGTTGCTCCAAGCCCCATCCAACCTGCCCTTCAACACTGCCAGGGATGGGGCAGCCACAGCTTCCCTGGGCAACCTGGGCCAGGGTCTCACCACCCTCACAGCAAAGAATTTATTTCTAATGTGTACCCAAATCACCCCTCTTGCAGTTTTAATCCATTACCCCTTGTCCTCTCACTCCCTGCCTTGTCAGAAGTTCCTCCCCAGCTTTCCTGGAGCCCCTTCAGGCACTGGAAGCTGCTCTAAGGTCTCCCTGGAGCCTTCTCTTCTCCAAGCTGAACACCCCAAGGCTCCCAGCCTGGCTCCAGAGCAGAGCTGCTCCAGCCCTTATTCCTTCCTGCCTTTGACACCAGCTGGCTTGGTGGCCTTGGTGGGGTCTGGGTTCCTGGCTGGACCCCTGTAAAGGTTTGTAATTGAGTGGAGCAGGACCTGGTGGGCAGGACCTGGCACCTGTGGGCAGAACCTTGGTCACACCCAGGCAAGTCCACGTCCCTAAACCCACTCCCCACCTAAGCTCAGGGCTGGGCTGAGGGGACATTGTCACTTCTGCTGGCAGCTGCAGGGTCAGCACGTCCAGCTCCCCCACTGGGGGGTGAAGGGGTTTCTCTGCATAAGAGGGTGTAGGAAGAAGAAAAAGAAAATCTTTTTCTTCCCCAGGAGGTGCAGTTGGTGGGTGCAGCCCCAAGGTTTGCTCCTTCAGCTGGTGAGGCTGGGCTGGCTTCAAAGCCCTGTCATCTTCTGCCCCCAGAGCAAGGCTGGTGGGAGCTTTATGGTGGGATCTGGAGGCTGAGCAGTGTCAGGCCTCTCTTCTCCGTGGGGAAATGCTACCTCAACAGGAGATGACAATGTCATTCTGCAAAGCAGATTTCCCTCTCGCTTGCGTTTCCACATTGGGGTGCGTGGTTGTTTTCTTTAAAGGAGGTGGCATTTGGAAGATGAAGTTTGACAGCCGTGGTTAAGGCTGGCATGACAAGCTGCTCTTACTCACAGCAAGCACCATCCCTCAGGGACTGGTGCCTGCAACAATAGGCATCTCCTCCCTGCAGGAAGGGTGGTTTGAAACGTAATGGTTTGTTACACCCCCTGCAAACGGGGTTTTGGGGGTGCTGAGGGGGTTTCTGGATGGAGGGGTGGCCTCACCTTTCCTCCCACCACCCCAGGTCACAGTTGGTCCCGTGGAGCTGAATGGCTGCAGGGAGAGAAATGGGATCTGGGGGTGTTGGGCTGGGCTGATGGCTTTGTAATTAAGCCAGCCCAGTGCATCCTGGAGGAGAGGAAGAGGTCGGGGGATGCAATGCGTGGTAATAGGATGTTCTTTGGTACAAGCTTGTGAAACTGATGCCTTGCCTGGTTTTCTCTCTGCTGGGTAAAACCCTGAGCAACCAGTTCTGAAGCCTGCCCTGCTCTGAGCTGGACTGGAGATCCCCCCAAGTCCCCAAATCTGTTTTTCTCTGGTCTTATGGGTTAGTTGTTCCTTCTCCCTCCTAAGCAACAAGCAATGGTGAAACCCCTCTGCTACTTGAGGTTTACCTGGTGCAAGCTGTGCTGGTGAAGCACCACGGTGGGACTTGGGGAGCTCTGGTCTGTGCCAGGAGCTTCTGCAATGATTGGTCAGGATGGGAATTGTTCTCCTCCCAGCCCAGAGGCTCTGGGGGCAGGAGCAGCCCCAGCGTTGGTGGTGCAGAAGCAGAGGAGTTGCCAAGCTCTGGTGCTGGGGTTGCCTTGCTCTGGGGCAGTGAGGCAGGACCTGGGCAGCTGAGCTGCAGCTCAGCAAAGCCGTGGTGTGCTCAGGGATGGCTCCCTGGCTCCAGGTGGTCTGCAATATTTATTCTTTTCCTGGGGGAGATCAAGGCTGTTTCCTTCCTCCCCTGCTCTGTCTGCAAAGAATCCCAGAGCTGGGTGCAGGAAGGATTTTGCTCACCCTGGTGTGACCATGGACTTGCTCCTGTCACTGCAGAGCCCCCACCCCAGGGACAGGTTGTCCTGCTCCGCTGCCCTTCCTATTAGAAGGGCTGTTGTGGCTGTGCTAATCCCACAGAAAACCACCCTGATGGGCTTGTGTGGTTTGTTTGCTGCTTCAGACTTGGGGAAGGTGGGGGGAAAACCCCCTCACTCCCCCATCCTCCAGAGATGTTTCCTGTCGGGCAGTGGGTTCTGGTGGCTCTGCCGGTTGCAGCGGCCACCGCGCAGCTCCTGGGGCTGGGCACGGGGGCCTCCTCAGCTGGAGGGTGGGTTGCCAGCAGAGGTGGCCACACAGGTCTCAGTGCTCCCCTTCTCTCTCCCAGGTCATGCTGGCTGCTTCCTACTGGTCCCTGCTGGCCCCGGCCATCGACATGGCCGAGGAGTCCGGCGGCTTTGGAGCCTTCGCCTTTGTGCCGGTGGCCGTGGGCTTTGCCCTGGGAGCAGCTTTTGTGTACTTGGCTGACCTGCTCATCCCAGCACTGGTGAGTAGACATTCCTGGGCTGGGGGTGCTCTTCCTTCAGCTGTGTCCTGACAGGTGCTGGATACAGAGTGTTTTCTATCACAGATTTAATGAAACCAGGTTCTCTCCGAGCCCCGGGGCAGCTCTGCCGGCGCTGGGTGCAGCTTCAGGCTCCCTCTGCTCTTCTTTGATTTTCTTATTGCTCCCCCCTCCAAGCTTCTGCTTTTGTTCTCTTCACTTTGACTTTGCAAACAATTCAGGTGTGACCTTCTGTTTCAGCCCAGGGCTTTCATTTGCAGAGCTGCAGAGCTGCCAACCCTCCGAGCGTTTCAAAATGGAATGAACCATCCCACCACCTAGACCTGATTATTAAAAAAATAAATCAATCAGCAGCTGTTGGGTTTCTGCAGCTGAAATCACACAAATGGCTTAGTCAGTGAAGATATTTTTTGAAAGCTTCCAAAGAGCTTTTTTTAAGTTTTTAATTGTTTTAGTGGATTATCTGTGGCTGCGAGGAGGGGGAGGGTTTGAGGAGCAGTGCAGGCTGGTGTCCAGGGGAGCCCTCAGCACCAGCCTTCCCTGCTCCCACCCTTTGTCAGCCTCAGAACAGGAGCCAACACATCCTCAGCTCTGAGGAAAATTGCTTGATGCTGTGACGTGTGGCTCCCAGTGCAAATGGATGCATTAGAGTAATGAGAAGGTAAATGAAAGGAGGCTGAAAGCCTCCCTGTGCCCCGGCTCTTCCCGTGGCTCCCACACCCTTTGCAGTTGTGGTGGAGGGGATGGGGGCTGTTGTTGTATGGCCAGAGCCCTTGGAAGTTGTTTCCATCAAACCTTGCATTTTATTTCTGCTTTCAGCAGCCCAAAGTCTCTGGGCTGTGTTGGCCATCGTGGTGATCACCCTTGTTGAGGTGCTGGATGGGCCCCCCGGGTGTGTTTGAGCAGCTGCCCCAAGCTGGTGTTTCCCAACAGGAAAGACAAACAGTTGCACCACAAGAACTGCTCCTTCCTGCTGGCTGGTGTTCATCTCTGCTGGTTTGAAATGGGAGTGTGTGGAGTGGGAAGAGCATCAGGGAAGTGAAGTTCTTGTGTTGCAAAGAGCAGGAGGGGCTGGTGACAAGTGTGCTTGTTACAGGGAGCAGCACGATACAAATACATAAAATATACAATTACATCTTGCTTTAAATCCAGTTCAGACACTGATGGGAGAGGAGCTGTTGCCGGAGCAGTGCAGGCTGGTGTCCAGCTGAGCCCTCAGCACCAGCCTTCCCTGCTCCCACCCTTTGTCAGCCTCAAAACAGGAGCCAACACATCCTCAGCTCTGAGGAAAATTGCTTGATGCTGTGACGTGTGGCTCCCAGTGCAAATGGATGCATTAGAGTAATGAGAAGGTAAATGAAAGGAGGCTGAAAGCCTCCCTGTGCCCCGGCTCTTCCCGTGGCTCCCACACCCTTTGCAGTTGTGGTGGAGGGGATGGGGGCTGTTGTTGTATGGCCAGAGCCCTTGGAAGTTGTTTCCATCAAACCTTGCATTTTATTTCTGCTTTCAGCAGCCCAAAGTCTCTGGGCTGTGTTGGCCATCGTGGTGATCACCCTTGTTGAGGTGCTGGATGGGCCCCCCGGGTGTGTTTGAGCAGCTGCCCCAAGCTGGTGTTTCCCAACAGGAAAGACAAACAGTTGCACCACAAGAACTGCTCCTTCCTGCTGGCTGGTGTTCATCTCTGCTGGTTTGAAATGGGAGTGTGTGGAGTGGGAAGAGCATCAGGGAAGTGAAGTTCTTGTGTTGCAAAGAGCAGGAGGGGATGGTGACAAGTGTGCTTGTTACAGGGAGCAGCACGATACAAATACATAAAATATACAATTATATCTTGCTTTAAATCCAGTTCAGACACTGATGGGAGAGGAGCTGTTGCCTCCTCTGGCTGGACACAGCTGTTCACACCATGTGGGAGAGCATGTGCCACCACAGGCTTGTCCCAGGGGACTGGTGGTGGCTGTGCTGGTGCTGAGCAGGAGGGCTCACACCCTGGGGGTAGTGCTGCTGCTCTGCTTGGCTTCCTGCAAAAGGGGGTGTCCCTGTGCTGGGGTGGCTCCTTCAGCCTCCTTGGAGTTCGTGCAAATGTAAAATGCCACTTGCCCTTCCCCTGGAAAACTCCAGCAGGGTCAGGAGAGCTGGTGTTGGGCTTGGGGCTGCTGCCCAGAGGCAGAGGTGATGGCTCCTGAGCTGGGTCAGGCTCTGCAACAGGCAGGGGATGGGACTTGTGGGGTGCTTTAGGATGAGGATGGAGGCTTGGCAGAGACAGGAGGGATGCTGTGGAAGGAGCATGGAGAGAGGTTAAAGCTGAATGTGCTGGAATTAAACATCACCAAGTGTTGGCAGGGAATTCAGCCCAGGATGCATCTCCCTTCACTTGGAGCCCAGACTTCTCTCTCTGGAGCCAGTGCTGCTCAGACAAGGGTTAAACCATTCCACTTCACTTCCAGCAGATCTTGCTTCTTTCTAAATCAGCTAAAATCTCAGGGTTGCTTTCCCACACCCCCCCCCTCCCCACTTAACCACGGGGTGGGGAGGGGATGCTGGTGAGGCCGTGGGACACCCTGTCCCTGGGAGGGCAGGACAAGGGAGCTGTTTTTAGCTGCTCTTTGCACAGAGAGCTCTGTCTGCCTGGCACTCCTCTGTAATGGGTTTGCTGGGTAGCAACGTAGTAACAGCTCTTAGTGACCCCTTATCACCCCAGCCCCCTGGGAGTGGGGAGGCTCTGGTGGTACCTGAGGGTTTGCTCAGCAGCAGAGCCAGGGCTGGCAGGAGGGTTAAACCTCCAAGACAACCTGGTTAATGATGCTGTGTTTGTTAAGTTCCTTATAAAAGGCAGAGCTAATCTCTTACATCTTCATCCATGCAAAGTCCTTAATGTGTGTTCATCCTTTAGCTGAGTTCCTGGAGAAGATGCTGGTCTGGAAGGGGCTGAGGCTGAGGGTCTTTGGTGCCAAGAGCCAAAGCCTTGGAGGGAGAGTCTATTTCAAAACACTGCTCAGTGCAGTGGGTCCCTGATCACTGAGTGTGACATGCTGAGTGTGGCTGTTGTCATGCATAAGGGTGCTGGAATGAAGTATTATTATTCTCATCCTTCAAATCTGTCTCACAGCTCTGCTGACTTGGCTGGCTTTTGTTCAGTGTGATGTTTTATTTGATTTCTGTGGTGAGTTTCTTGCTCTGGCCTCCTCCTTCCCAGAGGAATCCCACACAAATCCAAAGGGTGTGTCCAACCCTGAGACTCTGGTTTTCACACATTTGTGTGTGTGTTTTGCCTTTGTCTTTGAGCTACGGGATCCCCAGAACCTCTCCCAGTGGGTGGTGCAGGCTCTTGGGAGATCCCATGAGCATTCTCCTGCCCAGACAGGTGGGCTTTGGGTGGGATGCTGGGTCTGGACTCAGTGACCAGCCTGTGTTGAAGCTGCAGCTTCCAGGAGCTCCCTCACTCCTGCTTTTTCCAAACCTTGATGCTCCTCTGAGCGAGTGGGAACTCCCAGACGGGGCACTGGTGGGAGTGGGAAGGTAGCATGAACAGGGAAAGTGGACTTGGTGATCCTAGAGGTCTTTTCCAACCTGAAGGATTCTGTGAAGGTGAGACAAGGAGCTGGTCACAGCAGGAGGGATAAACCCCTGCCTGCCCATGTGCAGTTGTGCTTCCAGCAGCCGCTCCCTGGCTGCCTGACGTCCTCTCAGCTCCACCATCATTATGCTAAATGGGATAATGAGGCTTAATCAGCTTCATCTCCTCTGCCTCTTGGCTTCATTTGCTCAGAAACATCTGTCTGCAGACACAGCAGCTCCAGCCCTCCCAGCAGCCTGGGTGCAGCTCTGCAGCCGCAGCTCGGTCCAGGACCTGGATGGGTGCTGCAGTGTAGGGGGGTCTGGGGCAGCCCTGGGGCTCCCCTGGGAGAACTGATGAGTGTCAAAGGTGGCCCTGGGGGAGGGTGAGGAGAGCAGATGTTGCAGGAGAACCAGGAGTTAATATATAATCCAAGGAGGGAGCGGATGGGCCATTACTCAGTTATAAACTAGGAGCCTGCCAATAGTTCTCATGTCAAAGATGATTGGGAATGGGGATCCAGGGCTGTCATTCTGTCCTGGAAATACCATCTCAGTTGGCTTTTTTTAATTTATTTTTTTTCTTCTGGTCAGCTTGGTGTGGGGTTTGTTGGTTTTTCTGGGTTTTTTTTCTGAGTACAGAGTAAATCAACAAAGCCACATGTGAGGGGCTGACCGTTCCTTAGATTTAAAACAAAGAGTAACCAAAGTGCCTTTTTAAAAGCCTTTCAGCTGGGTTGGTGTGTGCTCTGTGGGTGCTGCTGGAAGGACCATCCTGGCCAGAACCCCTGCCTGGGGTCTGGGTGTTGTGTTTCAGACCCGTTTTGAAGTGTCCTGGGCTGTGGTTGGCAGCTGCAGGAGGGTTTGGGGAGCAGGCTGAGGATCTTCACGTGGGATGGAGGAGAGTGGAGCAGCTACGTGTGTCTGGATGGTGGTGCTAGGAGGCTGGAACCCATTAACCCTCTCAAAATGCAATTGCATTGTGCTCCTGCCCTGCTCTATGATTGCAAATTCGAGGCTTGCAAGCGTTTTTGGAATGGGGTCTGGGACTGGGCATTTTGCACAGTGAATTTTCAGCTATTCTTGGTGAACACCCTGGGGAGGGATTTGAGAACTTGATAAACAGGCATCGAGGGATACTCTCCTGTTTAATAATGATGGTGTCTGTTGTTTGGCTCAGAATGTGCCTTGAGGATGCATATTTTGCTTTCTAAATCTGTGCAAGTCACGTATCAGGGGAAAGCTGGGAATAGTGTGAGGATGGTGAAGCTGCAGGAGGGGGAGGAGAGCCCATGGCGCTCGCTCCGAGCGTGGCTGCATCTGATTCCCAATCACAATCTCTTTCTCAGGGCTAAACAAGAGACCATGGGAAGCATCTTTTCTTTGGTGGGCACTGGGCAGTGATTCCTGGCACATGCCTGGTGTACCAG